TAAAGCGATATACATTTTTATTTTGCTAGATTCGTTCATTTCGTGCAAATGTAGAAGTATAGAAAATCACTTACATGTTCTCTATGCCATCGATGTGACAGTTTTCCTAACGTAATCATCAGCCACCGAAACAGACACATGTGCGATGTGACCATTCTTCTTCTTCTTCTTTAATTATTGGCTCCCGCCTCCGAGTATTGAAATAGGAGGTCGATACGGCCAGATCACGTCAGTTATATGTGAACTGTGGCATGTAGTATTATTCGAACTAACAAAGTAGACGTAACGTGGTAATGATATAGACGGAGCGCCAAGACCTTGCGACAGAGTGTCACATGAAAATCGGAGCGAAGGTCCGCTAGGATGGGAGGGGAGTGGTTGAGGCAGGGAGTAAAGCGCCTGCGCAGGTCTCAAGGAGGAGGCGCGAGAATATAAACCTAGAATTGCCTGCCACATAGTTTACTAAAATTGGTTATAAGCCTGCAAAGGTATTCAGAGGGTTTAGAAATTGCTTGAGCGAATTTAGTTAAGTTATCGCGTGCAGATGAAATTTGATTGATGGCGCAACGTACAAGTCTCGCACTACCCCTGGACTCAGGACACTCGTATATCATATGAATCATGTCTTGTTGTGGTGACCCACAGGGACAGGAAGGATCATCGATTAGATTTTTCCGGTGGAGGCTGTAATTTAAATTGTAATGGTCGGAACGCAAGCGGTTGATCATGACAATGCTTTCTCTAGGAATGTTCATACGGAAATACCAAGGCTTGGCGGACCTTTTAAAAATATTATTGAAGTAAAAGGAGCCCTTAATATCTGCTTGAGATTCTAGATATAGGTAAAAGTTATCAGAGATTTCTTGCTTAATGACCGCGCATAGGTCAGAGTATGGTACTTTAAAGTTGCGTTCAATACTGTTACGTCCGGGAGGACTCCACGATTTCCTCGTTTCGAGATTACTTAATAGGGTGATCGTTGAGACAGGATGTAAGAGAAAATGCGAGAGTTAACGGTCACCGATCGGCGAGCGTGACAATATGTAGAAAATATATTGTTGAAAGCCTTCCCAACGATTTTGGAAAGATAATAAAAACATAGATACCCAGGATCACCCGATAGTAGCAGTAATAAAATTTATGACAAATTACAGACCATACCGAGAATGTTCGTTTTGAAACACGTTCAGTTTAAATAAGAAATATCTAAAAACGGATCGGGAGAATCCTGGGTAAATAGAAAGTCGCATTCTCAAGCGCATGTAACGTGTTGAAGGGCTTTTCGTTAACAACAGGAAATAGTAAAATAGAAATAGCTTGACAGGAATAAATTTTAATTTTTTGCCGACGATCATAAAATCCTGAAGAAATACTGTCTAGACGAGAAGACGCACGTTCAAGCACCTATAATAAAAGAGAAATCGGAAATAAGAAAAAAAGGAGGAATGCGAGTTTTCAAATTGTTGCGATCAGGTCGTTCGGAAGGTACGATAAGTGAAATACCCCTT